GGTTAGTCATGCTTTAAATTCCCCAGTTATGAGGTGCATGGATTTAGGAATAAGGAAAATGTGACTTTTAAGTTGTTTCTGCTTTCCTCGTTGCAGGATTATTTGTTGTAACTGGAAATGGTGTGCAAAGTATTGCATTTAAATCCTCCTTCAATAGAGTTGCTTACGCGATTCCGTGTAATTGAGTGACCGGAGTTTCAAACTCTTAAAAAAGAAATTATTATGTCGCAGAAGATTGCATAAAGTCCGTGAGAAAAGCAGCACGTTTCAACACAGTAATGCCCTTTAAACCCAAACCTTCCCCCCCTCCGACTCAGTACCGGAGACCCGCAAACAACCTCCCGCGCCCTGGCACACATTATGCCCCCTCAAAATGGCAAAGCATATATACCAACTTCAGTAGAGCTAATTACTAGATCACAAATACTTCTAGTTGAAGGGTAAAATATACTGGAGGCATGAAATATTTCATTATCGATAACTTATGTAAGCCCGGAAGGACCCTATGTGTCCACTAAACCACGCATTAGTCAAATCTCTATTTGCTTACAAGCAATCAATGTATTTTTTAGTACCACCAGCTGAACTACTGCCATTTCATTAATCAAAACATATTTCTGGCCCATGTGAAAATCTGTGGCTCATAATTGTAAAGCACATATTGGGACTATGTCCCTTTCAAACTTTTTAATGTTTTTTTAAGATCGAGTCCAGACCTTACTGAAGTCTTGGAAAGATTCTTGTCTACCTTTACGGTGCTCGTTTAACCCATTGGGCAGGACACACTGGCCCAGTCCACAGCCGCTATGACTGAAGACTCCAGCTCAAGCTCAAGACAAAAGTGTGAAGATTTCCATTATCATCTCCTGCATGAGCCAACATGGAGCCATCACACTTCAGACTCATAAGAAACTCTCCATGCTACATACAAAAGTGTAACTGCGTGTTAAAGAAAAAAAAAGGAGAAAAAAAAAAAAAAGAAAAAAAAAAGAAACGAAACGACCCAAAAATCAGCGGCCACTCCGTGCCTCCCTGCGAGCGGATGCTCTCGGGACCCCGGGAGAGTGCAGGGGGGTGCGAGTGGGCTCGCCACCGCGCTCCTGGAGGGCAAGCGAGAGCCACAGCAGCCAGGACAACAATGAGACGAAGGAGAAGGTAGGATGGGGAGCGGGGCTCCGCGGCGAGCGCCTCGGTGCAGCGAGCAGGGAGATCAGAGCCTGGAAAAATAATGGAAGGGGGGAAAAGGCGTCAGAGGAGGCTGTCTCTGCCTCTCAGAAACTGAATGGTATAAAAAGGGAAAGGTTTCCAGAAGTTCATTACACTGGCTGACTTTCCGCTTTGAGCTCCAGGCTTCGGCCCCTATAATATCGGCGGAGAGGCTGTGACAGGCAGCGGCGGGGAGGGGAGAGGGACGCCCTTGCCCACTGGAGCTTCCCTCGCTTTCCCCCCACCTCCTGCCGCCGCGTGACGTCACCCTG